AGCCCTACTTTTTTTTTTTTTTAACAGATACAACTGGTAGTTTGTGTGAGAAGCATTAAAGGGATAGTCCACTCACAAATGAAAATTCTTTTGTTATTTACTGTAAATGTTGGGAACTGAAACTGGTTGTCATCAATCTTCAAAATTTCTTTTTTTTGTGTGTGTGTGTTTCACAGAAGAGTCAGTTATACAGGTTTTGAATGACATAAGGGTCATTTTGGGCTGGACTGTTGCTTTAAAACAGATGGCGCTATGTATTTATGTATTATTATGTTGAACGATTCTGTGGACGAAATGGATGTTTTAGATGGTGAAATGGCTTTTAGATGCTTCAAATGGATGACACTGGTAAAATCATTTGCCGATGACACTACAGTACAGTGCATTAGAACTACAGATATTATATACATACATGCATATATATACAAGTATATATACGCACTCTTGTCCCCCTCATTGTCTCGTTTTTCACTAGTGAAGACAATGTGCAGTGACTGTTTCATGGTGCAGGATTTCTCAGATGTGGCGTTACAGGGCTGAGCAAACTAGAGAAGAGGAAATAAAGGTAGTTATCTTTTAATTTGACCTTTTCAAATTAACTAAGGAGCGTCATCTTGAGTCAGGTTAAGTGCCTTGCAAGGGGCCGTAATGGCAGTGTTACATTCGAGCTGCTCACTTCGCCTGTTGATTTACCAGCTTTCTGCATCACAACAACACTTTAGCTTCGCCGTTTTGAACCAGATCGTAATGTGAGATTCCAGAACAGATCGTATCCAATCAAATAATCTCACGTTTAAAAGGAATGATTCACCCAAAAAAAAAAAACATTTACTCACCTTAATACTGTTTTGCACATTTTCTGCATATTTTGAAGAACGTTCAAACAAAGACCCAACTGACTTTTATTGAAAACCGAGACATTTTTTAAAATGTATTTAATTTCATACGTGTTTGGGGTGACATGAGGGTGAGTAAATGGTGACAGTTTTCTTTTTAGGGTGAACTATCTCATTGGGCACAAATCTACATTTTCTCTTTCTATCTCTCCTCGGCTCTTGTCAGTTAATCCAAGCCCCTGTCGTGTTTCTGCATTACTTTAAAGCTGTGAAAATGTACATTTACAAAAGAGGTGCAATCATGCCATTTAAAAGGATATAGCTGGCTACTGGCTGGAAACCCCTGAGTACTATTATTCTCACACCATTTTATCGTTGTGTTTTCCTCAAAAGGAAAGTCAGTGATCATACTTGCATAACCACTTGAGATATAAAGGATCAGATGAAGATCTGATTGATTGACGTAGGAAAAACGTAAGGAAACGACAAATACTCATTTCCACGTTACAGTCTGATGAGGTTTTTGCGGAGCCGAAATTCAGCTTAAATACTGGGCTGCATCAAACAATGCAAATCATAATGAAAGACGGTTTGTTTTTCTACTGTTTTTAAGTTTAAAATGGTGTCCTGAGTACTTCCTATTGTAGTATTCCACATTTATGCATTTCTTTTTTTTTTTGTAAGCATTGTAACTCTTAAATGTAGTAAACAAATGAACAGATATACACTTGGCGTCAGACTAATGTATGCAGGTGGTTCTTGCACTTTGTATTCCTCCGTTCTTTCTCTCTTTGCCTTCGGTCCTGAGGGACGCTTTAGTCTCCTGCATGTGTTTTTTAACCCTGCGTGCTCATTTACTGCCTGAAACTGAGATCAGCTAGAGCTTAGTCATAGTAAGCAGCCTTATGTTAGCTCTCCTAAAGCCATTTATTGCATGGTTCTGTTCACTACGTGTTTTTGTCTGTACAGGTTACAGATCTACTTGGGCTGGACCCGCTAAAAAGCCCATTCAGAAACGTCTAATGTGATCAATAGCTTTCTAATTTACTTTTGAATCGTTTTAATGACTTGCAAACAAACTATTGAGATGCGGAAATTCTGGAGTCTTTTGTATGACACAGGAAAATGAGAAAAAAAAGGAGTTAAACGACAAAATGTTTATTTGTTGTACTTGAAAATTGGAACCGTCTTTGTGTCGACTACAAAGCCGTCAATGTTTCATAGCACTGAAGGTTTACTTGCATAGGCAATTTCATACCAATTGTGAATGTTTAAATGGTTTGGTCTGGAGTCTCTTTACAGTTAGAAACTCTACTACACCAATAAAAAGAGAGAAAAATGACCATTTAAATTCAAAGAAAAATAAAAGTATACATTTGTTTGCTATTATGTGAAGTCTAAAAGATGGAGGATATAGAAAATTCTGTTTAATGTAAGGTGAAAGCGTGTTTTATTTTGATTTTTTACGTTTTTTTTATGCTTTGAGTGGTTACATTTCTCTCTCTGTATTGCTGTTGCATTTTGCTCATTTATGTGTTGAATTATGATGTCATAAAGATATGATTTTCTTTACTATCACTATTATGAAATTATATATAGCGGGCCAAATACTTTCTTTACCTCTTTTCTTCCTTGCATGAATAAAAAGAAAATGAAAATAGAGTAAAAGAGAAAAGTTGAAAAAGTTGCCCTAGAAAACTTTTTTGTTTGTTTGTTTGTTTGTTTGTTTGATTTTGTAGACGTAAGGGATTTTTGGTCTATGACTGCACTCAGTAGAAACCATCTATAAACTGCCATCAGTCACAAAGCCTCATTCGGTTTCATTGTGCACCTCAGTTCAAAAGTAGCTTTGTATCCAGTCTGTCTTCAATATTTTGAGTGTTATGTGACTATGTACAAATAAACTTATTTCAAGAAAATTTTCGTGGATCTGACTGATTATATACATGTTCATGAATTTCTGTTTAAATAACATATGTGACCCTGGACCACAAAACCAGTCATAAGGGTCAATTTTTCGAAATCGAGATTTAAACATAATCTGAATAAATAAGCTTTCCATTGATGTATGGTTTGTTAGGATAGGACAATATTTGGCCGAGATACAACTATTTGAAAATCTGGAATCAGGGTGCAAAAAAAAAAAATCTAAATATTGAGAAAATCACCTTTAAAGTGGTCCAAATTAAGTACTTAGCAATGCATATTACTAATCAAAAATTAAGTTTTAATCTATTTACAGTAGGAAATTTACAAAATATTTTCATGGAACATGATCTTTACTTATTATCCTAATGATTTTTGGCATAATAGAAAAATCAATGATTTCTGATTTTGACCCTTACAATGTATTTTTGGCTATTGCTACAAATATACCCCAGCGACTTAAGACTGGTTTTGTGGTCCAGGGTCACACATATGTTGAGGTGGGTAGTATATACATATCATATGTGTATATATATATATATATATATATATGTATATGTATACTGAAATAAAAAGGTCTTTTATTATGAACGAGTCTTTTATTATGAACTACTGAAATTCCAGTGATGTAAGAC